TTCTCCTTCTCATTCTCCTTCTCATTCTCCTTCTAGATCTGTGTTAGATCTGTGGACTTCTTCTTTTTCTTCTTCTTCTTCTAGATCTGTGTTAGATCTATGGACGGTGGGGGCAGGACAACGGTAGGTGGTGGAGTAGTGGTAAGGCTGAGGCAGTGAATGGGCGGCGATGGCGCCGGTGCGAGGTGGGGCGGCAGTGGGTCAGGGATAGCGGTGGGGTGGTGGCCCGGTGGGGCTGGGCGGCGCTGGCGAGGGGTGGGGCTGGGGCGGCGCTGGCGAGGGGCGGTGCTGGCGAGGGGCGGCGCTGGCGATGGGCGGCGTAGCGATGGGCGGAGCTGGCGAGGGGCGGAGGTAGGGCTGGTAGGAACGATAGAAGGGCAGAAGAAAATAGGAGGGTAATTAGGACATTTTAATGAGGAAAAGTCAAATTGGGAAGTTTAATTCGGACGGAGGGAGTATTATTTTTGACTTCTTTTAGCTTTGGTCAAACCAGTCATTGTTTTCTTATTCGGTACTCCATCATATTTGTGGGCCACCTCAATCCAAACGGCTACCTTCCCTTGTTCACGCAATCGCGTTGCGTTTATAACTTTATATATGCAACTCAGATTTAATTTCTTCGCCAATCATCTTCCGCATTCCGATATTCGTGCTTGCACTCTCCGGACCTCCCGTCAATGGAGGCGTCCGGCGGCGCGGCGGCGGTGATCACGGTGGAGTACCTGGAGACCGCCAGGTCGAGAGATCTACTCTCCAAGTTCCCGGACAACTCCGCCTTCGACTTCGACTACTCTCAGAGCGCAATCTGGTCTCCTCTGGTTCCCCGGCACCTGATCCCCGTCTCCGGCGGCCGCAATCTCGGATCAGGTCCCCGGAGGGAGCTGGCCTACGAGGAAACGGCGGTCAATTTCAGGGAGGCGACGGCTAATTTCAGGAGGAAGCTTCTAGATTCCGTGATCTGTAATGTCGATTACCGGGGGGTGATGAAGAAGAGGAAGAAGATGATGAAAAAGGATTTGGATTTTTCTCCGATCGGTTCGTCTTCTAAGCTTGCAGCGAGTACTCCCGGAAAGGTCAGTACAGGACATCTTTATATGTACTCCTCTATCCGTACACAAATAAACTTTTCGTTGCGCGTTACAATGTTTGACTGAAGTTATTTTCAAATCATTTTATACGTATAGAAAATGGTGTAAAATTTAAAAATAAAAATTACATATTAAAAATTATATTCAAAGATCTACAAAACTAGAGACGACATGACTATATTATTTTATTAAATGTGTGACGAGAATAGGTCAACAAAATGATAAAAGTTTGACCATGTAAATAGTAAACGAGAAGTTTATTTGTGAACGGAGGGAGCATTTAATTTTTTTTATTTTACTCTTCAATTGTCAAAATTTTAACCATGAATTAAATAAAATTAATATTAGATATGAATAAAAAATAATTTAAGATGAAATTAAGGGGCTGTTTGGCAACTTCTGAATCGGTAAGTGCTGAACCAGTAAGAGGTCTGAACCATTAAGTGCTGAACCAGTAAGAGGTCTGAACCATTAAGAGCTAGTATATTGCTTAACTATTCAGAGGCAAATGTCTGATCAATTCAGATAAAAGGTCTTAACCATTCAGACTCTGTATAATACTTAACCATTCAGAGGCAAATCTCTTAACCATTCAGACATCTGAACCATTAAGAGGCTGAAACAAACAG